AGCCTTGCAGCTACAGGATGCGCGATCGACTTCACGATTGTAGGAACTCCATTTTGACGTACAGACGACCATTTTTTGTCGATTTATTCAATGTCAAAAGTCTCTTTATACTGATGACATGTTGTAAATATTGAAAAGATTGAAAAATTATTTTTCTCTGGAAAAACGGCGTGGCACGATCACTATACATCGATAAATAACCACATAGTCTTACACAATGGGCGATAGGTTGACAATTGGCCCAGGCCGATTATAAAGAATTTCCTGTTTTGGAGCACCGATGAGACAACTCTCTCTCTTTCTCTAGCCCGTTCGTTCGCCAAGTATAGGTATATAATATATTATCATCGTCAACGTGAATGGGATTTCAAGGGTTCCGGTCCCACTAGGGTACGTACCTAAGTATATTACAATCGAAGCGGCTGCGTTCGCGCGGCTAAGGAGAATAAAGAGAAAGAGTTGAATGGATTTCGATCGAGCACAGTTATTCTCGGATGGCGATAACGAGAGAGAGGACGAGCGGAAGAAGAGACACGGGCGTATCACGACCCGATAACGTCAATCGATTATTTCCTCCCACGCGACAATGTGCGCTTGTGTTTACGTACACGGGTCCATGGAAAAGTGCACTTCCTTGTTTTTTCCCCAAGTGTACTCCAGCCTCGTTTTGGGCGTGGCGGATTTTTACTCTCGGCCCCGAAGTGTTTTAACCATGCAGGCCCGCCGCGTGTGCCATTCGGGTGTAAATTTACTCATGTCGATAATTTTTCTATTTCTCCTTCTTCTAACAGAGATGGATCGGAAGGATGGATGTACAATGAAAAAGAAAAATTTTCAACAAATAAATAATATTAAAGGGTTTATTCGAATGTCCATTGTGTGGGCATATCTTTCCTATAGGTGAAAAATTCAAGCTTTCGAAATTTCAACTGTTAAATAAGATGTACGTAAGTTTGAACGATGTAGTTTGTCAAAAGGTAACTAATTGAGGCGACATTGTTTTCCTGTGACTTATTTAGGTGACTGAAATAAAAATACCAAATATTTGACGCATATTTCGTGTATACGCTGGTAACGAGATGAAAACTACAAGGAGGAAAGGAAGCTGGCTCCTATTTTAGGTCGAGCCTGCGCGCGTCTTTCATAAATTCACCGCTCGCCCGGTTGTTTGCTTACCCGCTTTCCCGAGCGGAAAAGCTGTTTAACAATTTTTCCGGGCGCAAGCTCTCGGAAAAACTTTCGAAAAAGCTCGAGCACATTTCACGCGCCACAGCTCTCGAACGCCCCTTCCTCTTCGAACAACACGGAAAGGCACGCGAGTATTTTCGACCGATTCATTCACGAGAATTTTCGGCGAGCCGGAAGTCATCGATCACCCATGCTCGAGAACTCGTCTCCTTTTATAATTTAATTTAGGAAATACCGATTTCAGAAAAAAAGTTGTTGATTATCGTGCGCGTCGAGCGAGAAAAAAAAAGAATTAAGATTATAATTAAACGTTTCGTAGACCAAGGGAAGGCAATACGACTTTCAACATGCGTTGTTATTTATATACACATTTTAGGTGGCTCGCGGAAGGATTATCGAGTTTGAGGGGGAAAAAAGTGTTTTACGACTCCCGCGTGATTTATCGTTTCCAATATCGAGGGATCAATTAAAACGCAGGAATGCGGCGCGAACCGTAAAAAAATGCAAAGTTTTCGTTCGGTTCTACTGGCGTATATTATGATACGTACGGCACCGTTATGTCAGAAGCGCGCGAATTTAATCATGACTCTCGATAAAAATAACATTTCATTGTCGGTCCATTAGAAAAAAAAGAATGATAATATCATTTGACACGGTAACAAAAATGCAGCGAATGGAGGGAGGGGGGTGGGTCGAGGATTGGGATTAGCATTGCCACTCAAGAACCGATTTGTCACTCTCCGAATCCTAGGAAACGAGAAAGAGAGGGAGGGAGAGAAGAACAAAACTCGTGCAGTGTGTGACATTTATCTTTTTTTTTTTTCCTGCTGATTGGAAAATTCTCCTGATAATCGAAATCGTGAAATGCTAATGGAAAAATTCCTACGGTAATTGAACGATTTTCAATTTCACCCAGTCAAACACGAGTGACAAAACAAAAATCGATTAGAGAAAAAAAAAAAAAAAAAAAAAAACAACGCTCGACTTTTGCCGCGCCTATACGGAGGATATATATCATCATCATCATCATCATCATCAAAACGTAGGAGTAAAGCTACGTGTGTATAAAATATGTAATAAAGAGAGGAGAACACCTACGGTACGAAATCGTCACCCGCGCGTGTACGTGCACGCCAGGAGAGCTGCACGGAGAAGCTCATGGAGAAGTGGGAGTGGGAGGCAAGGAAAAACCCGGTCCTCCTACGGTTCTGCCTAGTGCTTGGCTGAGCCGCGAGAGAAGTCCGTATCGAGAAGTCGAGATCGGCCAATCCGCCGAGTCGTTCCCTTCTTCTTTTTTTTTTTTTTCTTTCTTTCTTCCTCTCGCTTTAGCTCCTCTGGAACACCAGCCGTGAATCGGCCAACAGGTTCACCTACACGCCCCGCATATATAAATCCAAGAGAGCGCTTTTTCTCTCTTTCTCTGCTCTTTATCGTCGATTATATTCGACCTTTTTTTTTACATTTTATTTCACTTGGAATTTCTCACAGCTCGTATTGTTCTTGGAATATACGTAAAGTGCGCTTGCATTGATACACTTATAGTTGAATTTTTCGTGTATGCAACTTTCACGTTTCTTTGCTCTTCTCGAACAATGTTGGGGTGGATTTTTTTGAGGTGAAATATTGAGACTATTGATAATTTTACGAGGACAGAATTTTCTGCCACCATATTTTTTAAAGATTTGTGTTGGTTGACAATTGGCCCAGGCCGATTATAAAGAATTTCCTGTTTTGGAGCACCGATGTTCAATCTAAATTTTATTATAATACAATATACAGGTAAACAATTTTTGCACATTTTCACGATTTTTCCCTCGTAGACAAAAACGGGATAATTTTTGTGGATACANTTTAAAAAAAAAAAAAAAAAATGCATGGATTATCAACTTTCCAATGGGTAAGTTAATTTTATAAAAATATAATATTATCACGAAGGGGTTATTTCTTTAACTATACGCGTACAAAGAATCACGTCTTACTTCCTTTATATCTTATTTTGTCAGATTATTAATTTGTTGTCTACTCGTGTTCTCTCCCTCTCTTTGAAAATTAAAAAAAAAAGAAGATAGAGGCATCATAACACCCTACCTGAAAAAAGGGGGTTGGAGGCCGATATCAGTCTCTTCTTCTCTGAGGACATTTTTCTCGAGTGAAAATGGCACTTATTATGTGTGAGCGTAAATAAAATAACACGTGTATTTAAAAAAAATGCAGTTTTTTTGACTCAACTCCAACTGATTTCTATTATGTTTTGGCCTAACAATGTACTAGATTAAAAATTTATCATATACAAATCATCGAAAGGGTTTTATGATCCACTTTAAGTACATAAAATGCTTAGAACCGTTAGAAAATATTTTTCCCTCCTCCGAGCATCATAAGCAAGAAAGAAAAGAATTTTGCGCAGTAGTAAAACTCGTTTGATTGCGGAAGAAAATTAAACACGTGGGCATCACGATTTCACACGCGTAAATCAATTTACACGCGGTTTCTTCAGTAGCGCATGAATATTTAGTCGTACGCGCGTACACGCGTGCAATTATAATTTATTCTCTTTCTTTTTTTTTCAAATTCCTTCATTCATCCTGCAGGTATAATCCACGTTACTTCTCGACGAGAGTTTCAAAACATCGCCATTCATCATAACGAGACTTTGCTTCGCGAAAAATCGATATTTTTTTTATAGCAAAGAGAAATCACCCTTGAAAAACAAATCAGAGTAAATGGGGGGGAAAAAAAACAAAAACGAGTTAAAAGAAAAATAAGTGTCGTCCCTGGGGTCCCTCACCCCTCGTGCGCCGCAAAATCTATCGTTTCCGGTGAGCCGTGTAGCAGCAGGGTCCCCTCCCCCTTTCCGTTCCCTACAGGACTTTTTTACTCCTTCTTATTGCCAATCAGCTCCTTTTTCTCTCCTTTGCTAGTTCGCAGAGGAGGAGAAGAAGAGCCCCCAGGGATCCTGTCCTCGATTTCCTGGCAGCCAGCGCGCACATGTATATATATTTTTCGCTCCCTTACTTTACCGTATGTATATTTAATTGTACGATCAACTCGTGCGCGCTCCCGTACAGCGACTTTTCACCCCAAATTTCCCAACCCCCCGGGGGTTCACGTTTCGCCGACTGGACTCATAAAATCCAAATCGTACGACATAATGCGTCAAACATGCAAATTCACTCCTCCAACGCTACATCCGTTTCGGGTGCAAAAATCGACCGGTTCCATACACATCGCTTCGAAGCGAACTCTCTGGTCCCCCGCCCGACAACTTCGCAGCCAAGCGCGCGCTCACACACGCGTATATACATAAGTCCGGGGGCGCACTGTACACTTTTGCCGCTGTAAATTTCCCTCGCGCCTACTACGCGTCGCACCTTGGACGCATATCTATCTGTAATGTCTCCACATGTATGTATATATACCGTGTATAGAAAGTAAGCGCGTGCACACGCGGTGTGGGCGGCTTATGCGGCAGACGAACGCGACCGAGTTCGTAACTTCGCGGCGAAGCGCACCCATGTGCGAGCAAGCTTTCTACTTCTCTCTCTCTCTCTAGAAAGTCTTGCACTACTTATGTTACAATGCTCGGAAAAAATTAGTGCGATGTTATTTTCTTTCTATCTGTAGAGAACGAAATTTGTCGTAAAGTATTTGGAAAGAAGTGTTTATACGCTTAAAATGCAATTGTGTAATATATCGGTAAAAGCAACAGATGAAATGAGTCCCTTGTTGGGATTGATAATCGGTAAGTGCGTAAATATTTTGGATTTGAAAGACACACTGAAACATCGTCGTGACCTCACCTGAGGCAAAACTTTGAGCTTGCACGGGAAGACGGCTATGTGCTTGAACTCTTCGCGCTTGCGAGCCTTGAGATTGTCCCTGTGCGCGATGAATTTGTCGAAGAGATGGTAAATGATGTCCGCGGCGAAGATCGTGACGCCGAGCGAGTCCGCGAGCTCCTGGGCGTCCCGCTCCACCTTCACGTCGAACGCCAAAATTACCGCGAACCTGAAAACAAACGTGCAATCATTGATTACCTTCTTGCATGGGCTGAAACTTGTTGCTGAGTTTTGGGGGTTCTTTTTTTACGGGCGACAATAATTCGGCTACTGATTGCACACAGCGGGTATCGGAGGCAGCTTTTTCGACTACTGGTGTATCTGTTAGTATAATAGCGTGTATCGATTTCCCGTAATTTTCCACTATTTTTCCAATACCGTCGCGTTGTACCTGCACGCTTGACGAAAAGCTTATTGAAATGGAAAAAAAGACGCGCGAAGGTTTATTACTCGACAATACATCAATCAAAAAATCAAATGATTCGCGACGTAAACAATAGTAGGTACATTTTGTTTAAACATTACTTTATTGATGTATACGTTTTTAAAGCACGTGTATTTCTATGGAACAAAGATATTCACCGGTTTCTTGTTTACCCAAGAAAAACTCACGGTACACAATGCAGCCCCGCATACGAACGAAGGTTTTCCTCCGCCGTCGCGTTTCACGTGCACAACAACGCGTGCACTTCCTTCCGCCAATTTCACCTAGTCAAAGGAAACAGGACGGAAGCGGAGGTCCCATTCACAAGACGCACAATCCACGCGCGTGTCACACAATCAAAAAAAAAGGTCGCTCCCTCGATATTATGCCGTCGTCTTCTTCGGGGGGGAAAAAAAAAAGAAACGACTAGAGACAGTCCGCGACGGCATCGCTTTTTTTCTCCCCCTGTATAGCTGCATCTCGATTGTCCTCCTTCGACCCGCCGATCCGTGAATCAATATCCTACTATTCTACGACGACTTCTATTCTAGCGATGCGGAAAATTGGATTTCCAAAGGACATCGGTGTTTCACGAGGATTATAAATCGTAAATGTTCCGAGGCGTATCGCAGATACGTACAAGTATGAGTTCTGGCTCGAGGGGGAAACAGGAAACGCCGATCTCGTGCGGTTGGCCGGGGGATACAAGTGAATTAATTTTCTCTGGCGATTAGCTGTGCAAGCGTGGGACTTTGAACTGTTATCTTCCAGACTGGGTTGTTTCTTTTTGGGAAATTAATTTTAAAAGTTTACAGCCGACCGGGACACACGCCAGGAAACGGGCGAATAAAATTTTTACGGTGAAAATAAATCAAATTGGATTCAACGAATGGCTCGATGCAACGGGATTTGGAAGTGGCAACGCGAGAATATCGCGTGGGAACAGATTCGTTGGCAAAATAATAAGATGGTTTGGTCAAGGTGAAAACTCTATTTTTAACTAAACGATGATACTCACTGGTCGTCGTGCTCCAACATAATGGACGCCTTCATGACGTCCTTTTTAACAACAGGACCGATACGTATGCCCGCATACTGAAACAGACAAGCAAACAAAAAAGTTAATCGAGCTTTTTTTTATGTCGGTCCTTTCGCCGAATAAGGATGTGATTATTGTACAGGCATGGATTTTCTCTATGTACGCGATTCCTTTGTGGCTCAAAATCAGAGCCAAAAGTGCGACAGTATATACATTTTAAATCACTATATGAGTTGGGAGACAAATTTCATAAGGTAATGAAAATTTTCATCCAATTGTGAGATTAGATGTGGTCGTGGGTACGTAGTTTCGTTTTGATGTCCAAACTGGAGACTTGACAATAGATGAAGCTTCATTGACGGGAATAATTTTACCTGATGCACCAAAACCAAGGAGCTTATACATTTTAACGAAATTGTCACTTTAAAGTTGACATTTAAGGTTCGCGTGCAGTCACGTACCCAAGAAAAATATAATCTTTGCAAAAAAAAAAAATTACATTCAAGCCTCCGAGTGAGAAAAACTAAAAGGCCTCGGATGACGCTGGAAGGGGCTCACAACGACCCCTGAATCGTCCACTTCGAAAGGGACGTGTATTATATCGAAGGAAAATTAATCGCAGCGTATCAGCAGCAACTCCGACGCTCGTATACTTACACCCATCCATACATACGTATGTGCCGAGCCGCGATCAGTCATCATCTCCGGAAGCATCATCACGTATTTCATACGCACCCACACCCACGTATATACACTCACCTATATGGCTACATCAAAAGAATCGCGGGGCGACACGGCGCAGTGCACACAGACGATGCGACATCCGGGATATGCGCGACGGCGCATTTTGCTCGTCCCAAGTGTATAAGGTTATACATGTAAGAGAGAAGCCGAAAAGCTGCGCGGAGCGAAGAGTGTGTGTGTGTTTTGCCGCGAGGCGCAAGAGAGTGGGTTATTCCTGGAGTACAGCGAGTATATGTTGGTACGTGTGTGTGTGTGAGCAGTATGTATATACATGTAATAACCTGAGCCATGGCGCGAATAAGGCGCGAGAGATGGAATAGCCTGGCTTTTAAAACGCGGAGGAGGCAGTGCGGTGACGTGTGGGATGATGTTGCGAGGCTCGCGGCTATGGGACACACCGCGTTTGGTATATCTCTCGACTTTACGTAGGTACCCTATACTACATGGCACTCTCTGCTGGACCATTCGCTCATTTGCCGCATGTTACGGGTGTATAAATACATACCTATACGCAATGATTGGAAATTTCATTCTCGATGACTTTTCGAATTTTTTTTTTTTTTTTTTTTTTCCCTCCTTTACCGACTCCGAAGGAAGTAGAGGTGATCAAATTTCGTCTGATTTCGTTGAGATCATTGGGTTTGAAAGACTCGTGTATGTCTCGCTCAATATTCATTGGAAGCAGGTGTTAAGTATCTCTATTCCTCAACTTCTTGTGGAATATAACTTTGCTATCCAGAAATACGCAAAAAACTAATACGTTGCTTTTTGTGCCTTTCAACTTATTTATTTGTTTTCGTTTTTTAATTACGATTATTTCCTCTCTTCTTGGATTCTATCCTTAATTGTTAATTTGAAATTTTCTGTAATTTTCTATGGTAAATCAGTATAGATTTTTCTCAGCAACAACGTGTCACTCTGACAAAAATATTGTTGAAACGTTCGATTAGCATCGAGTGTCCGTTTGATTTTAAACACGATCGGCTACACATCGGATCGGGATCGGGTGACCGATCGTGCCACTGAACTAGATATTTCGCGGCGATCGAGAGCAATCACATACGTATATAAATAGTCAGCAATCCAAGTTTTAAAAAAAATTTTCCAAATCATCCGCGTACACTGATAAGTCACTTCCGCTCGGCGCAAAATGTTTATACAACCATATGTGCATATGTGTATACGCGCTTTCAAGTGTTCCCCCCCACTCGAGGGCAAATATTTACCCAGTGGCGCATTAGCGACAAAAATGTTTTTCTGACTCTCTCTGTCACTCTCTTCACTTATCTCTCGCGCAAGTGTGCGTGTGAGCATAAGTACCGTAAAGATTTCCTTGTCCCAAACACGCTAGACACGCGTATAATGGGCGAATGAGAGAGGAAGGGGAGGTGGGGCGGAACAACGATTTCTCAATCTCGGGGCCTCCTAAACACGAATTTCCGCCGTGAAATCCCGCACTTCCGGCTCTCCGGTTGTAATGGTAGGAGGAAGAGGAGGTATCAAGCCTCGTCTACGTTACCACTGGCTCGTATACCATATTACATATATATATACGTAGTATTGAATTCTCCGAGCTTTCGGTACTTTTTTTCCCCCTCTTTCTCCATCACCGACTTTCGCCCCGCCAAAAGGCAGGTTCGTGAAACGCGGCGCATGCACACATCCGGTTTCTCTGCTGCTCCAAGTCGAGATGCAATGTATGCAAGGAAGGGCCAATGTGGTTTTACAAACATTACCCCCTGCCAAAGAATTCATTTTTATACCGCACGCACTTATTCTCGAAATATTTGAGCTATTATCGTTACCCGAGTCGATACCGCGTCGTGATAAATTGTCATGTGGTTGCGACATCATCTGCGTTTTACGAGCACCATTGGCAGTTACAACAATATTATGTGACAGGAGCAAAAAAACACAGGCGTTACTGCACGACAAACCTATATACCGTTGCACACCTGCGACCGAGAAACAGAGCAATTACAAGTTTCTTTTTCCTTTAAAGTAATTGAGCTACCCTTTTTTTTTGCAAGAGAATCGATTAATCTAAATAATCGCGTAAATTTGCATGAAAACGCCAATGTATTGTGCAACGCGTTAAACTCGGTTGCGCAATTTCACAAAGTGAAGCCGATAAAGAGCTCCCGCACGATGCGTATCACACCGATGCTGCTTTCCCGGGGAATTTTGTGGAGAATTAATCGACCTACGGATAATTAATTTTCAGTAGAAAAGATTTAAGGTATACCCATATACTTGTGAAATCTCGCGTTCGCAAAGGAAAAATGGCTGGAGTCGATAAAAGGCTTCGAGGACCAGTGCATGATTTTACGAATAGTCCAACGTGCAATCAACACCAACGTCGAATGTGTGGGGGAGAAAAAGAAAAAGAATATCGCCAATGATCAGCGATGATTAATCCATATAGGTACAACGAGCACCTCGATGTGATGTATGTTGTATACATATACGCATTTATACGATGGACTGCAACCAAATATATAATATATACACCGGGGAGGTATATAAATGTGCGTTGCAAGCTATTATAGCGACAGTCGCTGCTCCGTAGAGTCCACACACTGACGAAACATAAAATACTCACACGCGTATCAAGTGGGTAGATATACCGTGTTATACACGATCTCCCGAGCACAAATGTACGTGGGCTTATAGCGTATATGGTCATGGTGATGACTGCTTTCTNTTTTTTTTTTTTTTTTTTCCCTACCGAGAAACGAAGTAAACACCGGACGAAGAGTCGTGAAAGAAAACGACGGAGATGAATTAATCGGCATGGGAAAGGAAGATCGGCGTGCAGGCTATATAGAGGATATTAGTTGTAATCATGTGGTATTTTCAATTTTATTTTTGCAAATACTCAAGGACTTTTTACCGACAAGTAAGATAACTTTCAAAGACATGTATCGACAATTCATATTACAGATGATGTATTTATACAGTCTGCATCATACATAATATATGTCGTGCATGCTTTGCATCAGGTGGTTGTAAAAAAAAAAAAAAAAAAAACGCAAGGGGGTTGGTTGGGGTGGCTTTGGACCTTCGCGTGCAACTCCATAATGGCCTCGTAACTTTGTCCACGTAAAAAACAACCGGGGACAGGTAAAGCTCATCGAATATTTTACGTACACTTATGGCTCCGGATACCTCGTCATCGCGCCCGCGCGTGGGCGATATGGAAAAAATGTAGGACGCTACGTGACCCGGCATACCTTATTACACGGTATCTTACTGTGCTCTTCATCCGTATATACAATCCAACGCGTGCGTGCGTACACACGTGCGTACATACTTATAGGTATACCCACGAAGACGAGAGGTTTGGGTGCCTATAATATATAATATATTTACATCAAGCATTGGTCTTGGCTATAATATGTAGTGACGAGGGCGACTCTGCTGGCCGGCACGGTCATCTTTGTAGGACATCTCTGATGGTGCAGAGTATTAGGATATAGGCGTACGCGTTACGCTCTGCGATGCTGTATCAGTACAGCCGAAAATACCGCGCTTCCGAGAAGTCCCACTCACAAACCCGACTCTCATCCCTCCCGACCCATGTACATACGTATTATATTATGTGTGCGTTAAATATAACATATTATCGGGTATGCAAGGTGACATCAAAGGAGAGGGATCTGCGGGTTTTTACGAGTGCCGTCCAAGGGGAGTACGATGACGTCCTTTGTGCATTTAATGTATATCGATGCGCCGGGACATTGCAGTTGAGGACCCGAAACGATTATGGCTGGAAAAGGGGCAACGGGGATGATGAAAGGAAACGATTTTCGCGAGCAATAATGAAACGTAGGAGCGTTTATTTGGTGTTGGAAAAGCGTACGTCTTGCGTGAACAAAGGTGCTTTGGAGGAGATAAAGGAAAAAATAAAATACGTGGGATCCCGACCGCTTCCAGGCGTGGAATCGCATGATTTTCTGCAGCGCGTATAACTCGTTCTCGCGAGCCTGTTCGACTTCCGCTGGGCAAAAACTACATGGGAAAACGCAAGGCGAACTTGTTTTTGAATGAAAAAGGTGACGAAGGACATCCGTTTGCCGGAATGCGATTTTCGTTTTTTCATCGTTTTTACCCACTTTGAAAAATATTCAAGCATTTTTATTCACTTTTCTCATTTTTTATGGGGCCTCATTTTTTTCCCCGCATCGTGAATCCATTTGTATTTGGAATTTAAGGGTATTCAACAACTGTATCCCCTACATTCTATGCAATTTTTATTGTTATTATTATTATTTTTTTTTTTCCATCAAAAATGTTAGCAATTTAGTTGAAG